TTGGAATCGGAGGGGAGTCTTTATCGTTGAACACTCATTTTCCTCAACCGAAGCCTGGTGGAGAATGTCTGTTGTTGTTGTTGCCATAAGAATATCTTTCTTAATCGTTTTCGAGCTTGGGATTTCTTTTTAGCAACAGTGAAGGACATTAACACTCTTGCAGACTTGAAGGGCTTGTCATTGGAAGGGGCCTCAAGGCAGCCTGAACCAAACAGGAGGGAAGCTTGGGTCTGCCCACTTTCCACCTCCCCACTCTGTGGGCCCCTCCGCCCACTCTGTTCCGGTGTCCTCATGCTGCCTCTTTAGGGCACAGGTCTCCCCTCCCCAAATTTCAGGAAGTAAAGTGATATAGTGAGAAAAGTATGGACTTTTGTTTTGATTTTTATTTATTTTGTTTTATTTACCACTTACAGGCCACACAGTCTCGGGAAAGTTAAGCGTTTCTGAGCCTTAATTCCCTACTCTATTAATGGGGGTAATTGCTGTGCAGATTCAGAGAAAATGCCCAGAAGTTGTGTAGCAGGTGCCAGACTCTCAGAGGAACTCAGCCAACCTTCCTACTACCCTTCTTCCCCTGGGGTCTGGGTCTGTCCTCACCCAGGAGTACCCCAGGGTCTTGGCTCAGCCTCTGCATTTCTTGTCGAAATTCGCTCGCTATGCCTTTATCATTCTCTCAGGACTTCACTAAAGGCCTGGCTTGATCATGTCTGTCAAGCTAATTCCACTGAAAGCTTGGCTGGCTGAGATCTACTGCACTTATAGTGCAAGAGGGTCCCTGAAAATGCGGAGCTTCCCCATGGAGGAACATCCCTCTTGTACTGGGCAAGCCAGGGAGGGGAATATTTTTGGGTGCCACTTGTCTAGAACTCCTTAAATAAAGATTTTTTTTTCCTTCATAAGAGATCAGGTATTCCAAAGAATATAATGTTTCCTGGGATGTCTTCTTACCCAATACTTATGAAAAAATACTTATGAAAAACAATGTTGTAGGTCAGGGACTGCCTAAAACATCGATTTTCCACTTTAATGTGCTCAAGTTTGAAATGCAGACAGAATCTCAGCAACGATCCCCTGAAATTCTGATTTAATAGTTTTCTGAAGAGGCCCTCCCTTTGGAAAATAGTGGACTAGACCTTTTGCCTTCATCCATTCCATAAACCAGACTGACAAAACAAGCAGGCTCACTTCCGTCACATAATGAGTTACCTTGAACAAGAAGGAGGTGCTGGCTAGCAAGAGTGAAGTCAGTCAGCTACAGGTATCTATTACTTGGCAAGATTCAGTGTGCTCACTACCATTGCTTTTCCAGTGCTGACAAGTAGAAGGTACCCAATCATTTAAGTAAGAAATGTTTATGATATTTCTAAAAAGCGAAATAGAACAATATGGCCACAATAAAGCAGATTGGGTGGTGTGAGATGTCATTTAGGGAAAGGTTAGTGCCCATTTTAACAGAGAAAAAGAAGGAAAAATTATTTGCTTTAAATTTTACTGCCACATTCAGACCTATTTTAGAGCGTGGATACCTTTGAAGGTAACCCATTTCAAACACGTGGGAGTTCCATTTAGTAGAAAACAGGCCCTTCCTAAGGTTAGGCATGGTTCTAGTGAGGGGAAGAGAGTCTTTTCATGACGTGCTCACTCAGTGATGTGCACATGCTGGGGGCTTCTTTAATGTAGATTGACAGGACGCTAGCCATTCAACCCCCAACACCTTCCTTTCAGGACAAGGGAGCAGAGCTCAGAAAAGGAATGCCATTGTGAGTTACAGGCAGGAGTCTCCCCCTTCTCGATGGCCTCAGATTCTGTCACATCTCCCTGCCTCGGCAAACAGAGGTTAGAGGCTACTCCAGAATGATTCGGAACCACCCACTTCTACTACTTTTGGCCAACTTTCTAGAGTGCACATTACAGGAGTTTCTAGTAGAAAATGGCCAGGATAAACCCTCATCTTTAGAAGACCATAGGTCACACAGGCAAGCGCAATGCTCTCGGCCACTGTGTGAGTTGAAGCAGGCTTTCTCAGGGAATATCTGCATCTCATACGTGTGGCTAGGTATATGTGAATTCAAGTATGAACAATGAAAACTCTACTCTTTCAATAATTGGAACTTTTGCCTCCATGATAGCAAATACCCTGGATCATATTTTCACTAAAATAGTCACCTGATGGTCAACAGAATGAAAAAGAAAAGTTTATATGGATGACTTTGGCATTTTCTTAGGCTCAGCTATAAAAAGGACGTGAAGGATAGCTCAGGCAAGTTATGAATAATCTAGGAATCTTAATGGAAATCTGATCTAATACATTGGAACCAGCTATTTAAAAAAAAAAAAAAGAATAACAGGATGGCTCCTGGTTAATCAACACCATCAAAAACCAAGTTTACATCTTTTTAAGCTAAAAATGAGATAAACTAAAATGAGCCTAAAATAGAACAGAAATAAACTGAGAGTGAACAAATTATAAAACTTCCCTCAGAAAGTCAGCACCTGCCACAGGGTGCCTTGTAGCTGGTGCATCTAGAGACAGAGTAAAATGTTTAAAAGAATGGATGGTTCAAGTCCCTGCACTGCCTCTTAACCAACTGGGAGTTTTTAAGCAAATTCCATAACCTGTTTGTCAGAGCCTCATTTTTCTCTCCCATAAAATGGGATAATAACATACCCCTTTATAGATTCTTTGTGAGAGTCATTGACAGAATGCAGATCAAGTGCTAATGAATGGCAGGTACTGCAGATGTGTTTGCTATTTTAGGATCAAGAAACAGAATCGTGTTCTAATAACGGGAGGAGCAAAAGCAAAGTGTGGAAGAATAACTTAGTATCTGAATGAGGCGTCAGGGAATAGATTCAGAATCTCCTCTGTGGGGAAGACAAAGCAAGGTCTTTATTTCATTGGATACCTATGACGCAATTCAATGGTCATCAAGCATTTTAACTGTTCGCTTCACTGTGTGAACTGCTTCAATCCAAAAACCCAGGAAAGATGAGCTGGGGAAGCAGGTCCTCTTACATTTGAAATGAGCGTTTGGCTTCACGGAGTCTTTTCAGAGCTAGCTAGTGACAAGTTGTGGTGTCAGGGTCAGGTGTATGGGCCATGGGGTCAGATAACCAGATATCCATCCTCTCTAAGACCAGGGAGACCTTGAGCTAGTCCTTCACTTTTCTCATCCAGGTAATTGGGATGATGATGTCCAGGACTGCTTATCTGATCTCAAAAGCTAAGATGGGAATTTGGTTCGTCATTGGTGTTGATCAACCAGGAGCCACCCTCTTCCCAACCCCCTGACCCCTCCAGGAACTGGTTCCAATGCGCTGATGTCATTGGATGGCTCTGAGGATTAAATAAGACCATGTGTGCAATGATCTGAGCCCAGTACCTGGCACACAGGAGTCAATCCATTATAATTCCTAAAGTGACCATGATGTCATCATCCCCATGTCCTATCTGAGGAGCCTGAGGTTAAACGGCTAATGGCAGAGGAGAGCCAGACCTCTGGGACAATCCTGTATCAAAGTATAGGTTTCATGGTGATTTGGCTGAAACTTTGGCCTGACAGGTAGGATGACTTGTTAGAGGTCCCGAAGTCAGGAATGCAGCAGGGCACAGCATCTGGTCCTTTCGCTCAGTCCTTGTTAATCCATAGGCTGCATGTACAAACCCGCCTAAATGCTGTAAAGAACTCGCTCATCAAACCAGGAAGGAAATTCAACCGCTCAGGGACAAAGGAGAGGCTCTGGGCTTCTTGTGACTGACATTCCCTGGTAATTGTCCCTCTTGGTCAATCTAGTGTTAGGAGCTGGCTGCCGTCTGCACTGTCTTACTAGTTTCTTTGCAATTACTTTAGAACCAAAAACAAATTTAGAATTTAAATTCAAGGACGTTTTTCCTGATAATGAATTCCTTTGCTTTCTACTAAATCTGGGAAGTTGGCTCGAGCCAGAGTTGGCTGTGGGCTTTCTATCTCCTCCCATCCACTGAGACTTGTACTCATTCTTATTTTGTATGAGTCTTTGCAAAGACTGTGCTAAGCCTGGAGCTCAGTGCTGCCCAGGAGAGGTGAAAGGTGGAGAACAGCAGGTGCCTAAAACCATACTGGTGGAAACAGCTATGTTGAGGCTGATGGAGCTGCTCTTTGGGTGAGTTCAAGACAGATGAAGTGCTGTCTTCAAGGGAAGGGTGTGGCTTTAATAAACAAAATGCCTCTTACACAGCTCTCATCCACTGCCCACCAACAGCCAAGCCAGTGGGGATAAATTTTTGCTTTCTAGTATTTGGCAACTTCTCAGCCTATTGGAAAGAACGAGGGAGTGAGAAGTATGGCAGATCTCAAAACTGGCTAACTTTAAAGCCCAGGGTCCCTCCTCCATAGTCACAGAGGTGGGATTGGTAACGGAGAAGGCCCGTTGTATAGCTCTACTCCTCTTGGCTTCAGGATCACAGGAAAGATGCTGGATTGCTGTACAGAGTGTACATTAGCCCACGGATTAGAGTTTCATCCAGGCCGAAGAATTTGGCTAATCTGCCTGTTCTGATGCTTTGCCATGTACCTTCTTGGGTTCACCTTTCTCCAGAACCTGCACATTATCAACCCATTTCTCCAGTTGCTTAGGAAAGCTCTCTGCACACTTTAAATATGAATGATAAGAACATGAACGTTGAACCTGAAGGCAGCTGGCTGCACTTACATAATTGTCAGGCTGGGGGCCCCTGGGTGGCTCAGTCGGTTAAGCATCTGCCTTTGGCTCAGGTCATTGATCCCAGGGTTCTGGGATCGAGCCCCACATTGGGCTGTGTGTTCAGCAGGTAGTCTGCTTTCTCCCTCTGCCCCTCACCCTGCTCGTGTTTTCTCTCTCTCTCTCGAATAAATAAATAAATAAAATCTTTAAAAAAAAAAAAAAGAATTGTCAGGCTGAAAGCCCAGGACTGCGTTGAAGCTATGGAGTACTGATCGGTGAGAGAATGAGATACTGTGAATAAAGTGTTTCGAACTTACCTGCCTCTCGGTCCCTGATACAATAGTCTGGAGAATTCTCAAAATACACGAGGTCATTTTTTGTTGGCTTCTTAAACCTCTTGTTAGCCACAGTAAAACCAGTGCCATCCTGGTTCATGACGACCTGGATGGCCCCGTTGTACTTCCTCCAGAGGTAATCGCCCGTTTTTCTGAAGTCGGCCATGGCCAGCCAGCACGTCCGCAGAGTACACGAGCCACTCACGCCGTGACACTTGCATTCCTGTTTCAAGAACCGCTTTACCGCCTGCCGGGAGAGACGGGCAAGTTCAGTGCAAGCCGACGCAAGCCCCGGACCGGGGCTACCACTCCTCTTCCCACTGAGCGATCGAGAAGTGACTCTGATAACAGACGATCCTGGGGCTGAGGACTGGGAGATGTTGGGGGTCACTTCTGCCACACCGCACTACCACAATAGGTGGGGTCCCGGGGAGAATCAGGGATTGTGAACACTATTTGGCCATTGGTATAACAAAATCCTCACTAATTTGAATTGAATAGGGCACAGGGCCAGTCTGAAGAGTGAGAGAATAAATTAGAGGGTTTTTTCCTAAGTAAATATGGCTTTATTATATTAAAAATGTACAGTAATATTCAGGAATTGCTAAGCCTGCTTCTTTTGATAAGCCAATAATAGTGACTCTATTTCCATGTTCCAGGCATTGTGCTAATGCTTCCTACGCTCTATCTCGATGACCTTAATCTTCACAACAATCCTGTGCCCCATATTTATTTTGCAGATGATGGGGGAGCAAGTTTGAGGGAGGTTAAAGCACTTGCCCCAAGGGACATGGCTGGTCTAGGACAGAGCCAGGATATGCTGGAAGTCAGTTGATGACCCTGAGAATGCCATTCAATTTGGGATATTATCACTCAACTCTGACCAAATTATTCAGCTTAGATGACAGGGCCAAGCTTGCTCTTTTTGTGGGGAGGAAGCAAAGGTAAATGGGACCAGCCCATCTCAGCTGGCTCCCAGCACGGGCACCCCCTTTGTGTAGGCTATGAGTCTCAGGACAGGGAAGGGCTCTGGTGGGCCCTGGAACTGTCCAGGGACATTTCCGATTTGGCCTTGGGATTAGCCAGCACACCTGTGCCCGCCCCAACACAACTTTGTGAGGGTTACGGTGAGCCAGGGCCCATTTCTCCCTGGCTCAGCTAAGTGATAAGCATCCTCAGCACCCATGGTCCCCAGAGCCATCCTGAGGTACTGATCTTCCCACTTCACAAGTGAGGAACCTAGGGATCAGGGAAGTAAGATGACTGGCCCAAACTCCTAGGCCAAGATGTGGAATGGCAGATGCAAACCCAGACTCTAAAGTCTTTCCAACTCACAGGATGGATGAATAAATGGATTTCCTCACAATATTTTCTAAGAGCATGTTTTGTGATTACAAGCCTTCCTGTGTTCCCTTTCTCATATGATTCACTACTTTAACAATTGTCATCCCCTCACCAACAGTTAGAACTAATTTCTTGTTCAGTCAGTTTTCCAAATTATTATAATATTGAAAGAGCTTTTTGTTGCTCATGGGAGATCATGACTGATGATTAGGGGCTTCCTCCATCAGATATTCTAAGTGACACACAGAAGGGCCATGGGGGCGACCAGACCTTGGAGGTCTCACCAAAACCACGTCTTTGGTCCCTGGCTCAGTTGCAGATCAGAGGAGGAGAAACCACCTGCCTGCTGAGGGCTCCCACCCTCTCTGCTTGTATCCCCAAGACAGCACCTATCTGGGGTAGAAGACATAGGCAGAGGGGACAGTGAACCCCCTTGATGACGTTATCCAAGGTGGGACTATGAACAAAATTCTTAGGGTAACACATTGAGAGAACTATTTCTAAGAACTTGGATGTGGTAGATTCAACCCTGCTCTGCCCACTTTCTGAGATTCTGGTATAATTGGTCTGGGTGTGGGATGTGGGTAGGTGGTTCCAGCATGCATCCCAGGTGGAGCTCCCTGCAATACACTTGCTCACCCTCCCCCATGCACCCCCAAACACACACACACACACAGATACCAGTCTTCCAGGCCGCCTCACCCATGTCTCACCCAGGTAACTTTGCCCAAACCTGGTTTTGCCTCTTTACAAATTGTTTCTTTTCTAACCAAGTGTGCAAAAAGGTTCTTCATTCCAGAAAGTCAGTCCCAAACAAGTATTCTAGAGTGGAAGGATCCAAGACATGGTGGCTCTCCAGTTGTGAATTCACTCATACCCTTCCCAGGTTGGGCCTCAGCACCCTATGTTTCCTGTTCTGCCCCTCATGGTGGACTGTGCCCTGTTAGCATTTGAAACCTGTGCTCTTCAGCATAAGCCAGCCTTGAAGGGCAAGGACAGAGACGTGAGCAGGGGGGAATGTCATTAGTTTGGTCCTCCAGGTCACAGGGATCTGGGGATATTTAAGGGATGTCTTAGAATGAACTCTTTTTCTGGAACTACACTCCCCCATGTGCCTTCCTCCCCCTGTATCTTTATATTCCAGGGGTTTGGTATGAGGTTCCCTGGGTGACCTGGACAGCAGGCCTCCACCACAGACACAGCCCTAGAAGGAACACCTTGGCTCCCTTACGGCCCCATTTGGGTCCCACTTGTCCAGTTTTCTATCCTAAATTCACAACAGAGCCACAGAACTCACTCCATGCCAAGTGCTTGGGAACTGAATGCTCATTCTTCAAGACTTATTCCTTTTAAAGCTGGGTTATTTACTCATAAACAACACTCAGCTTTACAAATGACAGGAAATATTACTGCCCTCCCTTTGTAATGCTAAGTTTCCAGGTTGCAAACTTCAAAGTTAGTAAATATTTTAGATGACTAACTGAAGCATTTGCATAATAAAAATCCGATCTTAAAAATATATCTTATGACTCCTTATAAATACACATGGCATTGGGCCACACTGCTGATCATTATCATCACTGGCAACAGCCATTCCCCACTTCCTTCTTTGGTTTTGCTCGGGTGTTGGACAGCCACGTGCTTCAGAACTGGCCGGGCCTCTCTCTGGCCCAGAGCAGCCCAAATCAGCAATAGTAATCTCATTGTCCTGCTCCTGATTCAGCTGGGGCCAATACGATGTTAGGAATAATCTGCAGGGGGACTTGTGAGAAAAGATTTCTTCATGCTTTAAAAGAGACACACGAGGAGAAGCTTCTTTTCTCTGTCTCTGGTTTTTCTGCAGGAGCTCCCCTGGGACACGGGGCAGCCAACTCTGGACCAGCAACAAGCTGCTGATGGCTGGATCGAAGGATGGGAAGGACTCGGTTCTGGAGGATGTTGCTGAACTGCTTGAATGAATCCACCTTGGCTTGGCCCTGCCTCTGTACTTCTTGGGGTCCAAGATATTAAGTTTGTGCCCCCAGGGTCTATGACTTATAACTACAACTATTTCAACTGGAACCATGGTCAGTTGTTGATTGTGGGTTAATCACAGGCTCCATCTGACAGCTAACCTTGGGGGAAAGTGAGACCTCTGATGCTGGGTTTGCTCACAGCTCCAGGCCCCGCTCTTAACACACAGCCTGTTCGGGGCTCCATCACAGCGCGGGGCCACCTCCGTCTCTGGGTCTGCAGACTTGAAATTCAAAACTCTTAACTTTGAAGGGGACAACGCCCTGCTCAGAGAGGCAGAGGGAAGGGGACCTAAGCCGAAGGGCGTGATTTTAGAGAGTAGCTAACACTAATGTAAGAATAAGGAAGGGGACTGAGAAACTCCTGGTGAGTTTAGGAACTTCTTCCTAGTTTAGAAGAATTCACATGATCGAATGTTATAATAACAGTGTAACAATAACAACCACTTATCCAGCACCTCACTGCCTGACAGGCTCCATGACAGGTGGTTCACACACATTATCTTGTCTAATTACCACAATTAGGCAAAATAGGTTATTATTCCCATTCTATAATTATGAAAGCCAGGGCTCAGCGAGGAAAGTAAAATCCCCAGAGTTACCCAGATAGACGGTGGCAGAAATAAGGTGTGAGTCCGTGTCTCACTCCCAGATCTGTGCTTTTTCTAAAAACATTTAAAATCCTATATAAATTGCATTGTGCTTTTCTCAAGTTTTTAATTATGCATACTACTTTCCTCTCTTCTTTTGAATAAGTTAGAAATTGACCAGATAAGATGGCCTGCATAATGGAGAAAAAAGAGGCAGAGAGATTAAGTAGGGGGGACTATATTGCATCCTCCAAACTAATCGTCATCAAAAATCTATTCAGGCAATTCAGAGAAAAAATATAAAGTCCTAACAAAAGTACAAAAAGATGTTCAACTTCACTAGTATCATGAAATGCAAACTAAAAGAATGCAACACTTGTTTTTTGCCTAGCAGATTAACAAATAGTAAAAAGGCCGATAATATTTGATGTTGGTTAGGAGTATCAAGGAAGGAATCCTTTAACAAACTGTCTGTGGAAGAGTAAATTGATACACCATTTAAAAATGGAGAGCATTTTTGCAACACGTGTCAAAAATTTAAATATATGTATCCTTTGACCTCAGTGATTCCACTCTGGAAATATTTGCACAAGCTTTGAAGGATACACACCCACATGGATGTTCATTGCAGCATATTCAGCAACAGCAAAATATTAGGAAAAAAGCCCAAATGACATCAACAGGAAAATGGTTAAGCAAATTATGGTATATGCTTAATAATGGAATATTATGTGGGCTTTGAATAATGAGGTAGATCAGTATGACAGAATGAAAGGAAGCCAAGTGACAAAAACAAATTGCAGAACAATATATGCAGGATGGTCCACTTTTTAAAGGCCTGCATATGGGTGTAGACCCAGAGAAAGAAGGGACAGCATGCTCTTCTACAATCTGGCTGCAGTCTGAGGGGTTGCATGGTCTGGAAAGAGAGGGAAAAACAGAGTCAAACCCTTTGATGGGTAAAGGGGATTAAGAGGTACAAACTTCCAGTTAGAAGTCAAAAGTACAAGACAAAAGCACAGCATAGGGAGTACACTCAATAACACTAATAACGTTGTACGGCTGACTGTACTTCTGTGGTGAGCTCTGCGTAATGTATTGCATTGTCGCATCGATATGTTGTACACCTGAAGCTAATAGAACATTGTATGTTAATTATACTTTCACTAAAAAAAGGGGGGTCAAGCTCTGTACGGAACAGAGTAAAACAACAGCAATCTAGGGATTGTTCCCTGGCATCTGGAGAGAGCACAACAGTGATTCTCATTCTGGCCACACATTAAAATCACCTGGGGACGGCT